TTTAAAGGGACACTGTCAATGGATGACATGCGCAGTAACAGTCTCACCTCTAACGGACTTTGAAAGTATTACCTTCGAGGTAAATCATTTTGTGGTGCTTTTGACACACTTTGGAATATTCTAGATCTGTTTACGTTTACGAGCTGATTTATGTCGCGCCAACTTGGAGTCATAAACTTGAAAACACTAGCCTAGTGTTTTCAAGTTTACTTGCGCATGCGTGCCATTGACAGTGTCCCTTTAAATATTTTCTCAAAAAGTCAAAAGAATTTCAGGCTGTGCCGTCTTAAGAGTACTGCATTTATGCAATTATAAATTGTGTCATCAATACATTACATGCTAAAACATTGGAAAACTTACCTGTCAAAGCAACCTTTCCACTGCTGGATGTAATTCCATAATGCAGAAAATTCATGAATATCAATCGTTCCTGACCTGAATTTTCAATGTAATTACACTTATAAACATCACACAAAATTAATGTTTATTAATTTATTATATTAATTCAGTGGAGATTCCACGTCACTAAACAGTGTTATAAAAGAGATACAGTATAGTAGTAACTAAATTCTAAATGTTGTTCAGCTTTGACTTTATCAGACATTTATTCGATACCGTAGTGGATAAGCCCTTACTTGTCCTTGTCAAACATTCCTATCATTAGGCGGCATGTTTCTTCATTAAAATTTGACCAGTTTGAATTGACTAATGCTTGACGTAGCTCATTTGCTGTAATCTTTCCAGATCTGTCTTGATCAACAGACTGAAACAAAAGTAGCGTACAAATGAAYACTTTATTAAAATAAGCTAAGTAAATCCATATTCATATTTTTCTTACCTGAAACCAATGCCATAGTGTAGGATCTATTCCAGGGGGTGGCCCCTGAGGAGGACCTCCATAAGGAGCATGGTATTGGGGAGGCCCTTGCTGATACCCACCATACTGCTGTCCATACTGTTGTGGAGCCTGAAAACATGATGTACGGAAACAAAAACGAAAATTAAAAAAATAACAAAAATATTTTGAGGTGAGCGTGATGGCTAAAAAAACCTTACTTTGCACTATATTATTTAAGTCAAGCTTAAACATGAGTAAAGGAGAACACAAGGAAATGAAATCTAAACTTCAGTACTGAACATTTAAATAATTAAGCATATTGACATATATTAACATAATGCCCAGCAGTCATTATTTGTTCAGAACTGATCAATAGTGGAGCCAYTGTCTGCAGGTTTTATATTCCTATTCAGGGTTGATATAATTGCGTTGTGGRTAGTCAAAATCAGGTATATAAACCATAATTCGTTTTAATATTTTAGCTAATATCCTATTTCTTATGAAAGATTCACCAGTTCACAACTTCGCTTGGGTTTGACAATATTCAATGCTCATTTTAACTAAAAATACTCACATAATTCGGATTATAGGCTGGCTGGTGTCCTTGTGGATGATTCCAAGACATTTTGTGTGATTTTAGGCAGTAACAATAGAAAATATCATCGTCGAATTCCAACAAGATCTCAAGCCTTCGATTGCTATCAAGGAAACGGMCAAAACCACAGGAAGCCCAACAGCTKAACTCCAGTCTTCCGCATTATTTTGTAATACAGCAGGCCCACACTTATTGATCTTTTGTTTTCATATTTTTTTTTTTACTTTTTTTAAAGTCATTTTTCATATTTGTATATAATATTTGCTAAAGGACTCCTTGACAGGAGTACTCCATGATGTTTCTTGTAAAGCTAGAAAGCTAGAAATCCCTTTGCTGAAATTCTATCCCCAGTCTGAGAATAAGAGAAGTTCAATCCATTCCAACTGCATAGTAAATCTCATCAATAGACCTAATCGGCTTCAACCCAATTCAAACCACCCGCGAGTAAGTTTCATTGTTCATTGTATTCTCATTTCAYAGTTGAATTCTTAGAAACAAAAGTTCTTTATCCCACAGGATTTGAATTGGGTGGCAACATACATAGCAACACCATTATAACCGATTAGGTCTATTGCAACTTCAGTTTGGAAATAAATTAATCTATCCAAATCATTCAATCATATCCCTTAAATCACTTCTTTGTTTAAAATGATTCAGCAACAATGAAATGTTGGAGGTACATAAGCACTGCAGGTCTCAAGCCRTCAGCTCACCAAACTATCACAGTCACTTAATTATTTTCCTGTCTAATTTCATTTATTTTCCTTCTCTCTTTCTCCTAATAACATATACTAACTTTCCCTCTTTACCATTTTATTACATGATCACACTTCCTGGAGGAAACTAAATTAAAAATTATGCTAATAGTTGAACTTCTGTTGAGGCCTTATGTGCCACAGAAGCACTATAATCTAGATGATAGTTGAAATATGTTTAAATACAGCCATGAAAACATTTTTCAGTAAATGTATTATCAATTTGATAATATAGTAATGAAGATTGAGCCTAAGATATGCTATGAGTTAGCTTGACTTTTCTTCTTTAGAGACAAAGTGCTGGTAATAGTTCTTAGTGTAGTCTGTCATTATTTCTTGCATACATTCTGGTAGCTCTGCTGTGAATTTACCTAGACAAATACAGATAAACAAATTATGATCTATACAAAATTAGAAAGTCCCAGGGTTCATGTTCAAGAACTTTAAAAGAACTTCTTAAGCACATAAGAATAGTTTTAACTCTTTAAAAGTGATCAAGAGGATAATAAACTTTATCAAAGTACCTGGTGATCCAGAATAAAGTGTAAAAGGCGGAACAACAGTTTCAGGAGGAAGCACTGTATTGTCTGCAATAGCACAGCAGTCTTTCAAAACACTACGACGACCCTGCAGTACATAAAAAATCATAATAATATGATTGTATCCTTATCTATAGAATAACAGTTCATAATGAAATTTGTAAAGTTTCCAGCAATTTGCAGTAAATTGCAATTATATTGTTAAGTACATTTTGCTATTTGTTGTATTATTTCATGAATGAATTTACATGTTATGCCTCTATGTACTTACTATGACACAGTTCTTTCCAATGTGAACATAAGAACCGACTTGAGCTGCATTCACGACACAATCCTCTTCTATCATCACATGATCACCAATATGAAGTGGGAAAAATGCAACTCTACAATCATTAAATCAATATTATCATCATTTTRTGTCTATAGCAACTTATTTTTGTTAGAAATATGCTTGAATAAMACATTCACAATTCAAGCCTACTGAAATGCTTTTAGAAAAATCAAAGGAAATCATTCAACCATTATAACTGCACACAAAAAATATATTTAATACTCAAAAGTGTCTCACCCTTTGCTGAACTTTTTAAATGGTGGACGAATGACAGTCCTTTTACTAATAACACATTGCCGACCAATCCTCACATTCGCCAAGTCACCACGAATAATGCAATCTGATTGAATGATAGTCTGTGGATGATAAAACCCATGCAATTATTTTCAAGTTACACGTATCAAAAATCAGCTGTTTGTGACTTTTTCAGGTTTTTATTACCTGTATGTATAGAATAATGTGCTCATATTAGAATAAAATAAAAATCAAGTTTATGCAAACACAAAATTACCTTCCCATTTAAGACGATATTTTGACTTCCACAGAGTACGGATTGCCGACTGACCTTGTTCCCTGATGCCTAAAACATCAAATTATAATACTGTTAAGACTTCGCAGTGTTAAGCAATATTGCTAGCACTGATACTCGATAATTTAAGTGATTTACATTTAAAGAACTTGTAAAAATTGTATTTTGGAAATCGCCTGGGAAGGATTAGTTTGCTGTATGCGTCGATTCCACCTGTAAAACAAAAATCTAAACCTTACCGTTAAGATGTAATCTGCCTTGGTGTAAATTATATCTTGTTGTTCCATATTTGAAGGTTTTTCCAAAGAGTAAAGATTGTTAATCAACYGTTCTGTTTAGCCATRATATTTTGTTTTGTTTCAATATGGCGGATTTGGCTGTTTTATCCCAGGCCTCCATCGGTAATACACAGGGAAACCAAAGTACTTCTGATTGGCTCGGCCCGGCTCCACGTCGTAACCGCGCCCCTGTGCAAAAYAGTGTATATCTGCAGTTCAACAGAGCACTCTTTCATAAAGGTATGTTTATCAACAACGGAACAGAAAGGATTTCTGTGAGCTTGTTTGCCAATTAATATGCAAGTCATTCTTTCATGACTTCATTGGTTCCTCAACTGACAAGCACCACTCCCTTGAGGCGTTTTTAACAGACCATGTGCAAGTTACAAAATCATGTTTGCCTTTCACAAGACACTGATTCCATSACAGAAATTAAAGGTGGCTTGTCCGCTAAGTGAAATTCAAGCCTTRAAAATATCCAAATGGCCAATTATTTCMAGAAAAAAAGAAAACCGAGCAAAAGACGAYCTGGACTTGCACTCGGAGGAGAGAAYAACATAAAAAATGTCGACCTTGCTTCACTGCCGACATATTCATTTAAAATATGYATTCTTGGGGCTGCGGGTGTTGGCAAAACATGTCTTGTGAAATCATTCTTTGGAGATGACTTCGTCCAGAAACATATACCAACCGTAGACGACTATTATGTYCATGCTATCAGCCTTAACGGACAAGCTTACCATACTACTTGTATCATTGATACATCGGGGACTTACAGCTTTCCAGCAATGCAGAGGCTCGCAATTGAATCAAGCCAGGGTTTTCTTGTTTTGTATGCACTGGACGACATAGCTTCATTTCACGATGCAATTCGCTTGCTAGACCATGTAGCTGCTTTGAAGGTCGGGGGTGATAATAAAATAGTGTTAAATCTGGTAGCGACAAAGCTCGACGTTGATTACAGCAAGCGACAGGTCAGCACAGAAATGGCTTTGTTAGAAATTAACCGAAGGACATGGTTAAATGGTGATTACATCGAGGTTTCATCCAAGGCTGAATTTCGTGTTTCGTGCGCTTTTCACAGTTTATTGAGAAACATGATCAGCGAATGTCAGTCCAAGGAGAAGAAAAAGGCAAGAAAACTTTTATCCAGGAGAATGAGAAGCTATAAGCTGGTCAGAAGAAATAAGTATAAAGCGTGAAATGCAAAWCATATCAGTATTCAAATATGCATTTCACGTCGATCTGGGTGTTATATAGAAAATCAGCATGGTCGATCTACAGTGCCACTATTGAGATAATTGAATTTTATCTCTTAATAAAGTTTTATTATATAGATATCGATTATAGATTTTTACGCTATTAAAGTTACATTTTTAGAGAATATTATTTTATTAAAGAGTATATATTATAAAAGACAGAGTTTAACTTTAAATTAATATAAACCATATGKCATTACACATATAATTGGACTCATAAATGTATATTATCTTTATTATGTCGTCATTCTTACATGCTATCAATAAAGTTCTATTRTTGGACAGCTTTATATACTCTGCAGGATGTTTTCTTGTTGTTTCCTTTCTTATTCAATTTTCGATAAATGTGAATAAAATTAACCCCGATCAAAAATATAACAATTTTCATGASGTATAGTCTTTTAGTTGGGCTGCCTGTGGATCGCACCTTTTTCATTGCTCGCATATAATCTCGAAAAACAGGATAAAGGTCTATTAGCCAGGCAACACCCTGTCATTGCTGAAAAAAAATTTTTGTTAACTTGCCGAAAAGCTACACGGAGTCAAAATGAATGAAGAACTATTTCACAAGTAAGTTTTAGCCAGTGGCTATCTAAAATGGTGGCAAAAAACAGGTAAGCAGTTTCACTTCACCGGTTCACTGGTCGCAGTTGGGATAGCTATACATAATTCATAATTCCAGAGCAAATGGGTTAAAAAAAACACTCATATTCCTATTTAGTATCAGTGTATTTTTCCATGGTATTGTTTTCTCAGGTTGCATTTGTTTAGTCGAGGAAGAAACAATAGAGTTTGATGGCGGCCTTCGACAACTTTGGTTATGGCTCGGCAACCTCGAGGCAAACTTTTAAAACTGAAATTCTTGTATCTAATAGTGTTGTCGATGGTCATAGCAACTATCGGTAAGTATAGCGACTTTCTAAATTATTTGACTCTGTTTTATTCGTGATGAAAATGAAACTCATCGAATTTTCCACTTAATATAGCGTTTATCTAGAACAAGAAGCGGATTTAGCCACTACAATTTTCACGTCGGTGACAACTTCAGTTGCTCTAATAACCTATTTTTCTCACTTAAGCTTAATTATAACATGACGATATTGCTTGAATGTTTTCTTTTTTGCTTGGAACAATTCAAATACTAGTAAATATTATACACAAAATAGTTAATTTCTGACAGCGCGCGTTTACCGACAGTAGCCCACTGCACCCTTCAACCACACGAGGAAATTAAATACTTCTTTCTTTGATTTGCGTTTCAGTGGCACTGACGAAATACTCGACATTTCCTGGGCGAAACCTACAACGATCTACAAGTGATTGCAGAAAAAATCCCACTGAGGGAATAGTTCTAGTAATAGTGTATAATTTTCCATTCTATTCCAGTATTCCTATCCTAAAACGTCTCTACGGTGCAGCGTTTWCTAATATCATCTTCTGCGGCCCTAAGGATGACGAAGTGAATCCTGTAGTGGAGTATATCTATCATCATAAGGGATATTTTGGCTACRTTTGTCTTACTAGAGCAATGGAGTTGTATCCTCCACATGACAAAGATGYAATCACAACAGTAAATMMGCGTTACCATGGTTACTTGCTGATCAACGATGACGTCATGCTCAACTTTTGGAATTTCGCTGATTTTGACAAGAGAAAAATTTGGGAGGGACCAAGGGTCCCTATCAAGTATGCAGGCCATGGTCCCAGTRAAGATTGGTACTGGTGGAAGTCACGTTGGGGCATGAGTCAATGTCAAAAGGCATTTGATGAAATATGGTCACTAAGGGAKACATTTAATTTATGGTCTGAAATGAATGCTACTCAATCACTTGAAATACTTGCAAGGAATGGTTATGATCAGCGATCATGCTATAGGGGACGGTCAGATATATTTTACATTCCTCAACGTTTCTCTGAAATGTTTGAGTTGCTTRCACATGTCTTCTATAAGCACCRTGTGTTYCTCGAGATTGCAGTACCTACAATACTTCGAATGCTTGACGTRAAGGAGAATTTTGAGTACATTCCTGGTGTCTACCTACCAGGGAGGATACATGACTCRCCAGTAAGGAATAACAGACACTTCAGGAAAATTTACAACAAGAAAGAATTTTTTGTACACCCGATGAAACTCAATTACGAAGATGTTGATGCAAACAAGGCTTTTCTAGAGGCATTTGTATTTGAATACATCAAAACTATTTACTACTGCTAGAAATATTTAGAAGCTCAGTCTGTAAAGTAGTCCCTCAATAATAATTATTAAAAAAATCCTGAGCAAACAAGATGTATTTGAATACATCAAAACTATTTACTACTGCTAGAAATATTTAGAAGCTCAGTCTGTAAAGTAGTCCCTCAATAATAATTATTAAAAAAATCCTGAGCAAACAAGAGCAAGCAATTCCCATAGATTGTAAATAACATAATATTAGGCTAACTATTTTTGGTACAAATTATTGTAATATCTAGTGTAATAGCACAGTAGATGTACATGTACTATATGAATATTGTTATTATCTGGGTTTAGGTTTAAAACGTCACTTAGAAAATAAAAATAGAATAACTAAGGATTAGCAGCAATAAACAAAAATAGTAAAATGTGAAACAAAGTTGAAAACACTCTTGTTAAAGCAGATAAAGAGATGATCTCTTGCATTAATCAGGAAAGAGTGTCCCAAGGCTGAGCATCTACAATGGAAAAGCTTGTGATGATGCAATATRAATTGCTGGAAAAAGATCACACTTTTAGTTCACTGCACCTTGATTCAATTCACTTAAAAGTGTTAAACTTAYATAATGGTTCAATGCCTTCTTTGTTTCTTGATCACAACCACTATTTTAGCAACCACAAATATCTAAAGTCCCAGTTCAATTCTTATGAATGTTTTCAAAGTTTCATCTGGTATTTGTTCTAAAGCTTTYCTAGCTTCCTGTTTATTGTTCTTGTAATATTTTAACATGTCATCAACATACTCCAGCCAGACACAGTTTTGGCAACCACTCCTACAGCAGAGTTCAGGGGGAGGAGGGGCTGGTGGAGGGCCAGTGGCAGCATCTTGGTTACCCTTGGAGACAGGTTGGTTACCTAGMAAAAAACAAAAGATACAATGAAACAACCATTGAGGGAATTGCAAATTCTAATGAAAAACTAGTTGAAAAACTATACATTTCATTTAATTATTTTCTGCTAATCTTACCATTTGTGGTACTTGCAGACCTTTGAAGATTAATAATTCTTGTTAAAGAATTCTATAAAGGAATGATTCAAAGTTATAATATGACGTTGTGAATTTTTTATTGCTTTGTCAAGCTTTTTTTATATTCATCCCTCCATTCTTTCATACCCATTCTTTCAAATGGGCATTGAAATCCAGACAAAAATCAGGTAATATTGCAAACTAAGATCGAAAATGACCTCATATTTGTAATACATTAAACGAGATCCCAGAGGGATATCTTTAACTTTGGTTAATTGAATTTTTATCAAGCTGCTTACTTTGGATTGTGAGAATACCACATTCCTTAAGATTCTGTTCATATGATATGACCAATGAATCGCTCTCAAACGCTTTTGAGGGAATACATCTCAGAGCAAACGAAAACACTGCCAATATTCGATGTAAACATCAACATCAAAGGCAAAACAATCCGCCATATTGTGAACTATTACGTCATGTTTTCAAACTACCGCTGAAAATCACTATTGCGGACTCAATAAATTATGATGCATACTGGGATATGTTATTTTCACGATTAACCGCTGTGCAGTTCTTTAACTTTCCAAAATCTTCTTTCAGGATTTTATAAGATATTACACGATTAATATTTGTAATTTGGCCTACAAATTGAGAAAATTGCTGGTCATGGGACGGTTGAGTAGGTATAAGAAGACAAAGTCTTGTGATCCGTTTTATAAGGGAGCTAAAAGCGATGTAGAAGCCACCCAAAAGAACACGTGAGTAAAAATTATGTAAAAGCTGTCTTTATACTATAAAGACAAGATTATGTTTTATGTTATTTGCAGAAAAAGAAGTAAATCTATTGACACGGAAGCTGATGTTGATGAGCAAAAAATGCCAAGGTCGATGAAGTTGCTCCTTGAAAGAGCCAAGAAGCTAAGTGTCAAAAAGAAAAAGAAGTTAAAACGATTAGGTTAGCTTGCATTGTTATCAGCATCGTTGATGTCATAAACACAGGTAACCCAGACTCGATCATTACTAAAATCATATCATACAAAAATGGTACTCTTCTTCCAGCTACTACACAAGTAATTTGCCTGGGCTGCCTGCGTTCATAAACTAGTAATATAAATTGCTAACCACAAAAGTATGCTTTTGGTAATATGTACATGGTATTTTTAGATGACAAAACTGGAAAAACTGCATTATTTAAAAAGAAGAAGGATGAAAGTCAAAGGGAATATCTTTACAGGATCGACCAGGAAACATCATTAGCTGTAGTGGACTCATTGAAAAGCCAGAAGAAAATGAGTGATCGCAGAAAAAGGTGAACTCTTTTATTTGTTTTAATTAGCAGCAAAAAGCACAGGCAGACYRAGCRGATYTGATWGCTYCAAATCTCTCTGCTGCTTGCTTGCACTGGRTCTGATGCCTTCCACCTGTYGACTCATTGTCTTCAGATAGACMATGTTATCATGATTGGTATCGTTATCGTTATTACTTTATTTGATTTGATTTTAAAATATTCTCCTTTCTTTTTGATGTATTTTTTCTGATAATATATTTTTTTGCAGACATATTTTTTGTTGTCTATTTTTTGTTGTCTGGTTTAATATTAACTATCTAGCGCTAGGGCCCACTGACTCTGTGATTCCCAAAAAGTTCATGCTTATGTCTTAAGTCATGGACTCTAATCATGATAAATGCTCAAAGACTTYCATCATGCTCTCTCATAGCCACTTGATTAAAAGGAAAGAAAAACTTAAGATCAAGAAGTGCCCAGAGAGGGTCTTTCAGAAGACTGCAGTGGATTTTTCACACTTAAAAGGTATAGAATTCTAGGTGGATCATCTCTATGTCATATATGAACATATGCCATGGTCAACCTGAAGCTAACAGGACTCACTGAGCTCTAAACTGTGCAATATATTCAGGGCCGTAGCTAGTAAGAGGCCAATTTTACCGATGCTTTTTGTTCTTCATCACTAATATTATCTTAGCCTCTCAGAGCCGATTTCGTACGACTGATTTTGTGCAAAAAATATAAAAATAATGTTATTTTTGTAYGTGTAGCTTCTTTGTTTCATAAATATTGCATGATGAATTCCGGTTAAATCTGTTCAATAAAGAGTTACCAAAAGGCCCACAAAACGCTGCAACTTGCATTTCCGAGAGAYTGAATTTCAAATTTTCTAGGGGGAGAATGCYCCCGGAGCCCCCTAGTTTCTCCCGCCATYGGCGGTCKCKCTTGCCTTGGTTGTCCATTYACTCTGGCTACGGCCCTGATATTCAAGTATAAAATGTTCTCAAGTAGTACTTAATTTGGACAGTAGTGWAGTTTCTTACRCCCTTTCATTTGAATTCTGCATTGCTTRAATAGACGATGTCAGATTTGGCGATGTTGCATCACAGCCTCCAATGTTAACAGCAAAGCCAAGAAAAGCCTCTCTCCAGGATAAGGTAAAATTGTTCAGATGTGGCRTGGCTACATGTACTTCTTGAAGTTTTTACTTTTAATAAAAGTTACGTCCGTTAATCAGAGACGACTCTTTATAATGCATATTAGWATGTTATACAATGCATCTTTTCCTGCTTGTGCAGTTCAGTGATCAGCATATTGCGTTGTCTCCAGTCGTTTATGGCAGCCCAATAAATTTCAAAAGGGTGTCCCAATCTTTGGAACGTTTGCTACAACARAAGTCTGGTTTTGTTTGATTYAAACRTAACGTTTCTTTAACTTTTCTTCATTGCTATCCAGAAGTATAACGTTTCATTGTTAATTTTTCTCAAGGGAAAATCACCATTATTATTAAGCAGCAAGCTAACTCAAGACAAAGTTTCATCTAAACCGACCGAAGATAGAAAGAAACAGAGCAAGAATCTCATCGTAAAAGCTAAAAGAAGAAAACATATGTCAGAAGCGGAGAAAGCAGTTATGGACAAAGAGAGATTACGCGTTATTGAATTGTACAGGACTTCGAAGAAAAAAGCGTAACAAAATTCTCAATCTTGAGCAAGAGAAAAGAGATTAAAAGAGACATGTTTCGTGAATAAATATCTCTAATTCAAATCGCGCGTGGACGACAACGCGCGTGGACGACACAAATAACTCGTCTAATATAAATAATGGAGTGTGCGTTAATTTGTAATCACGCCGTGTTCTCTCACTTCGGTGACGGCAGCATTACAGATATACCAGATAGAGAATGCAGAGAACAGAAAAGATGAAGGAAAGAAAGCAANTAATCGACTAAATGCTAACAAAGTTTATATTACCTCTGTGGCCTCGTTTTGGTGTTTCGAAACAGGAATCCCAAGCCAATGAAGAATCTTTCAGTGTTCCATAGTGTTCCATTTCTTTTTTTCCTGTATGTTGATCCCCCTGTTGATTGACATACGAGGTATTGTCCAATCAAATCCAACGTCTGAGCTCTGCATGTGGGCTGGAATTGCACAGAGAAGTCAAAACACCAAGTATCGTTAACAGACCTCCTCTTTTCTCATTTCCCCTTCCAAAGAACAGGGCTGGTTACGCAGGGAACACAAAACGTAAATATACTGCAATTATGGCGGCTACTATCAAAGCTATCACAGTGTTTTGTGGTTCCAGTTTTGGAGACGATCCTCGATATGAAGAAAATGCCAGACGTAAGCTAACAATATGTATAATATATAAACTTTATGCAGCTAAAATTAAGTCAGCTAACCTGTGCCTCCAACGAGACTTGGACCAAAAATATTTACGTAAAGCTTAAACTTTGTTTTGTCTCCTTTCAAATCGGTTTAAAATCTAAGGTCACAATACTTTTGCGATGACCTGGATCAAATTTTTCTGCCACCATTCGGATCCCACCATTCACTGCATGGCTGGTTTATTATTGTCGAAAAAAAACAATTGTTAAAGATTTTTATGATATTGCCAATTGCTTGTCGCATTGTTTTTGTTGTTGGAACTCTATGCCAGTAGAAATCCATAAAGAAAATTATTCTAGCTCGGTACTTATACGTGATCTGGAAATCAACCTGATGAAAGATAAACTAAATGCACTTCCGGTACACTATATTTCGAAATTGCGGCGATTTAGACTCGAGAAAATTCCATTTATTATAAATTATTTATTTACGCAGGCAAATAAATTAATGCGACCTCGTTTTCTATAACAAATTCCAAATTCCAAATTTTGCTTTGGACAACCTGTCACTACTGCCAATGTTCAGCTGGAAAGTAGGATTTGAGCCCTGGCCAAAAATCTGCCTACCTGGTCTATTTTTAAATAGAAGGCACTGGAAAATCATTAGTTGATGCAAATGAAGGATTGTCGGATTGGCATGTGTTAGATATTAAAGGCCCAGTGTGTTTCCACTTCTTCTACTGGTGTTAGTACTAACTGGAATTACCTGTAATAATGGGTCCATCGTGAGTTAGATTGACTCTTTTTATAATCATTTATAATTATCCACCGTTTCATTATTTTTGCTGCAGTTCTTGGTAAATGCTTAGTAGACCAGAAAATAGATCTTATTTATGGTGGAGGTGATACTGGTCTTATGGGTGCCCTCGCTAGCACTGTGCATGGAAATGGTGGCAACGTTACTGGATTYTTACCAGAGTTTATCACACAAAGATGTAAGTAATCCACATCCTCGGGAACCCAGGGGTAATCTTCTGTCGTTCGTTCCTCACTACCAGAAAAAAGTAGCGACCCCATGTCTCTAAATATACTGATCATGCATGTCTGACATGGTAATTCAGCAATAAATTCATGATATTATTTGTTTTAATTATAGTTTCTGGTTTATTGTAAATTTATGTATACCCAGGTTGCATCCAATTTGTAAAAGAGAAACGTTACCGTTTACTGTCAGTCGGTTAATACTGCTGAAAAATGTGCACAGGCTATAGGGCATGATCCATCATTCAAAGGAAATTTAAAACTAATCTTGGTCTCCTCAAAGAGTGTTTAGTTTTGGACCAAAACTGCGAGGAGACTAAAGCAATGTATTGTACTATTATGATACATTTTATRTTGTTTTGTAGTCCCAGTAAGGGTTAGGGACTACAATGGTAAAACAATTATGGTGACAGATATGCACACAAGAAAAAGGAACATGCTGGAACAGGTGCGTAATGGTTTATTCTAGTGTCCAGGTACACTTCCTTCCTGACACAGACACCAATAATGTTATGCGTTCATGAAACAYTTTCAATTCATTGGTTTGTTGTAGTTTGATGGTCCCATAAATAGCGACTTTGTTGTTTTTTCTTTTACATATTTTTATGCATTCTATCWAAGCACCATAATTATTATGTCTTGTTACAGTGCGATGCTTTTATTGCTTTGCCTGGTGGATTTGGGACATCAGAGGAATTACTGGAAATGATTACCTGGTCAGTAGTGGGCAAAATACTTGTGAAACAATAATGTTGAATTACTTATAAATAGAGCTGATGAGCTCAATGTTCAATCAAAAACAAGCCATTTTTTTAGCTATTTCACAGGCATATTATAACTCTAGTAAAATATTTRTACCAATTATGTGCTTTATAATATGATAGTTATTTTTTACAGGAGACAACTAGGTCTACATGACAAACCAGTGGGGATACTAAATATAGCAGGGTATTACGACAAGTTTCTTGAATGGGTAAGTTACACAGGAAAGATAATTGCAGTGCCTCTGTTGCTACCCCACATCTGCCTGCATCAAGGGAGTATGTTATCAAAATATTTTACAGCACAAATTAATWTTTTCTTTCTTTTACGAGGTGCTCCATGGTGTAAAGAGTGGATTTATAGCCAACGAYAGTGGACGTTATTATCCTCGGGAGATGTGTGTTGCTGATAACCCTCAAGAACTTATTGAAAAATTAAAGGAATCTATAGCAGAACAGAAGACAMAATCCTGAAAATTTATACTAAATATTATAAATAACAATATGCATTGACCTCTGTTGCAGATGCTTATATGTAGTTGATGTCTGCAAGAGGTTTGATATGCAAGCTCACTGTTTAACTTTGATTGCATTATTTGATTAAAACAATAATATTACTTATTGGTACTTTGTTTTAAACAATTTTAATTTTTTTTTTGGATTTTGTACTTCACTTTATTTTGAAAATTTATGGTCTAGATATAAATTACATAGTCAAMTAGCTTAATGCTAGTTTGCTTTTAAAAGAACAACATTCTTGTTACAAGATATAAAATGAGCTTAATCTAACACTGCACAAAATGCTGCATCAGAGTTATCGATTGAATGCTTTGAAAATGGAAAACTATCCTACTTRATATCTATTACCRTTCGGTAATTTGTTAAGTGTCAGAGTTGTTTCACTCTACAGTGAAACTTGAATGAGATCAATATTACTATACAAAAGCTTTACTCAGAATATAATGAAATATCTCTGAGAATTTCATAATAACCAAAAAGATGAGTACAAGAGTGTCCCTGATAAACAAATTCACCTTGATGAATCAGAACTTGAACTATTAAATCTACGTCTTCTCGGAGGTGATCTTGATGGTGACCTTCGCCTCCGTGGTGGAGAGTCAGGTGACCGAGATCTTCTRTAAGGCCTATAGTTGCCTGAGCCCCTGAATCGAGGGGGGCTACGTCTCCAGGGCTGTCGGCGTCTTGGTGGGCTGGGTCTTCTATAAGCAGGTCTCATATCTCTRGGTCTAGGTGGAAGTACAGTCTGTGCTGCTATTTCYTGGCCATCTATTTGTCCACCATCCATGTGTTTAAGTGCTTTTTCACATTCTTCTGGTTCTTCATACTCTACATAAGCAAAGCCCCTTGGTAAGTGGTTGAATCTGTCAGTTGGAAGATCTACGGATTTTACATGCCCATAGACACCAAAGATTTCAATAATATGATCCTTATTAATGTTCCTTGTCAATGAAGAGATGTAAAGTTTAGTGGGTTTTGGTGTTGGACTTCTCTTTCTGCGTCTTGGAGACTTTGATCTGGATTTTGATCTGGAACGATTTCTTGATCCTGATGAAGATCTYGATGAAGACCTTGGTCTGATTCTTCTTAAAGGACTTTTCTTTGGGCTTGGTGATTTAGAGACTGACTTTGATGGGGAACGGYGAGTGGGTTTTGGAATTGGTTTTGGTGGTGGAGACTTGGACTTTGAGCGCATACGCTGTGGTGGTGGTGGTGGCGGTGGAGCTTTGTTTTTTGTTTCCTTTACATCCTTAACAACCTCTTTTCCTTCTACTTTGATATCTTTGGTTTCTTTCTTGCCTTTTCGTGTTGCTAGATTTACAAACAAAAGTTCAGTATATTGATGTGTGAATAGAAAATGATGGATTGTTAACAGTTGGTAGACAATAATCAATACATGGTTATTAATAGCACAAAAAAAAAATTTGATCCAAAATTCAAAGCCAAATAACACACTATAGCATATAGAACTTATACTTAGGAATTTTAAAAACAYAGGACATATACAGAGATTGCAGGAAAAGTACAGTATAGATAAGATCGATAAGCAAATTTCCATCTTCCCCGGATGACATCTCACCTTTCTTGGTATCAGCTGAACTACTCGAGCTACTGGATCCCGAGCTRCTAGAACTGGAACTTCTACTACTACCACTACTGCTTGATCCTGAACTCGAGCTTCGGCTACTACTCGAGCTGCCTGAGCTTGAAGAATAACTTCCACTGCTACAACAAAACAGCAAATGAAAGTTCAGCTTTCAAAACATACGAACGATAGACGCATGGTCACACACACCTGCTAGAAGAGGAACTTCTCTTCCTTGAAGGYTTGTCTTTAGTTTTGTCTTTCTTTGCAGGACTTCGACCCCTTGTAGTTGTTTTGGATTTTGCTTTATCATCTTTGCCTTTGCTCCGTCGGGCCGGTGATCTAGATCGGCTACGACGACCCCTAAACAAACGTGAAAAATCAGCATGAATCACAGAGAATATTACTAAAATAGTAGAATAGAGAAAAGCGTGTGTTATAAACACTTCATTTTYATTCCATGGTGCAGGGAAATGTTAAAGGATTGTCGAGGATAAACAAGATAAAAACTCACATCTTCATCAATCTTGTAACAAAATGGCGACGCGTTCAGACAACACTAGTACCCAGGCCTCGGTGCGTTTTCCAAAGTGATCAAAATGGCGGCAAATACAAAGCGTCATGCAAGTGCCTGCTCCACTTAAATATAAAATCACGGTTCTTCACGTCGCTATAATGAGGTATTTAGTTTTTTTTTATGATACTTTTCTAAACGGACTCTGAATCAGCCCTTGTTGGAGTCTGTTGTTAATTTTATGGCAGTTCTTTGATTTCTGTTGCTTTTTAGTTTTTTTGAGTGAGGGGGCTCACAAATTAAATACTGTAGTTATATCTTGTGATCGGGATCAAGTCTTAGGAGATAGATCACAAAGCAAGATCATCTATTTATGGCGTGATTGCTGCTAGGAAGAAATTAAACTCACTTTTRAAAGCTATAAAAGTCAACTTGCTGACACGAACTTTAGAGGAACTATTGCCCTATTTCTTTATGACGTCACAGTATGTTTATAGCGGAAAACGATGCTCAAAAACAATGGAAATTTGGACACATTTATATTGTCTACTAAAGTAGAACTTCAATGAATCGTGTTTTGATATAGTGTCATGTATAAATGATTATTGTACATTTTATTTGAAATGCAGTCACTCTGATTCCAGTCTGGTGGCCATAATCCTTAGTGTTAAAACAATAGAATGTTTTGCGATGTGATGTCATAATGAACCAGGGAAATTGGTGCGCCCACTTTTTGAGTGAAAGTAGGCAATTGTTGGTCTGGTTGAACAAACATTAGTATGAATGTCTGTATGACCATGCATAATAGTATACCAGTCACTTATGCCAAAACAATTATTTGGGTGGGGTGTGTCGCACGACCCTCAAAACCGTTACCCTATCCCAGACCAATTTTTATCAGTCTGATTGTAACTTTGGGATTGGTATCTCATCTGCTGGGATTCTGATAACCAGGATTGTTTCCAAATCTGAAATCATTACATGGGATCACTTTTTGGTTGAATTTTCATCAATAAATAAATAAATAAATAAATAAATAAATAGATAATAAACTTTTAACTTTATTACAATTTAACATTGAATTGCATTTTTTTGAAAAATATAAACCTATTTCAACTTAAATCATGATGATAAATTTTTAACATTTTAAATGGTTAAAGTAGAATGATCAATACCATGATGAACTAGGAAATTTTCACCTATCCTTTGATTACAGATGGGAAAATGATCAAATACTATTCCATGCAACATATTGAAATGACTAATAATAAGAATAAATACTTTACTGTGATAATCTCATATCCACAAGTGAAATAATTCATTTTGTATGTCAGACAAACTATGGGCAATGCTAGTGCCATGGCATCATCTACTATGATGCAAGCAAGGTAATAGCCTCTCAGTGATTGACATCG